TCCAAAATGTTTTGGTTGATCTTTCCTGGTTCTAGTCATTGACTAGAAATCTCTTTAATTTTGAGATAAATCGGTACACTTCTTACAACATCTTCGTGTATTTTATCTAATGAGGTCACAGCCTGATACATACAATCGACGACTTCTTCACCGAGTGAGCATGTCTCAGTAGAAGGTAGAGGGGACACAACTCACTGGATTTAATTCCTGCATAGACTGTCGAGGCGATGTGTGTGCAAAAACAAATCTCAAAGTAAGTTTGTTCTCCTGGGATTGGCTCTGTGTTCCTCAGTGGTCGGGAACCTCTCATGTATTGATTACCTACTAATGCCAGCTCCTTTGACAGGCACTTCACACACTGTGTATTTGGTCTTCTCAGCAACAGTAAAAGGTTTGATTGTTTTTGCAGATTAAAAAAGGAGTGGGGGGACAAAAAGAGTGCCAAATACTTTCTCAAGGTTGCACAAAGCTAGGAAGCTGCAGAGTAGGAATTCAGACTTCACTGGAAGTCCACCTTTTCCCCCCAGGAAAACAAGGGTCCCTAAACCCCTGAGGTTGGGTTGAGACAAGCTAGCGTATGACACAGGTAAGGGGCATTGGGCTATCACTGCCCCAAACTGATGTACTGTCTGATGACTGAGCAGGGAAACTGAGTAAGGACCTGAGTAGCCATGCCCAGACCAAAAGGAAGAATCCAAGGTAAAGCAGTGCGACCTCAGCTCCTTGAGCCGAGTCTTGCTTTATTCAGACGTTCTGTTCTCAGCCAGTCTTCTCCAGAGCCTGATGCATAATTGCAACACTCTCCTGCCCTGACTCTCCTTATACTTGTTCATCATAGCACTTATCGCCACCTAACCGAATAGTGCTGAATTTCGGCCTCCTTCCATTTTGTTTGTTGTCATGTTTCCAAAAAGCACTGTGGGTACTCAGCAAGTATTTGATCAATGAATTAACCCAAGAAACTATGAGTGTGAATGTTCAAAGTGGACGCTAGGGGTTGGGGCTGGGGTGGGCCTGCAGAATCAAGAATTAGGTCTTGATTTCTAGAAGGCAGTGGCAACAGATTTTGATTTTTACTGGAAGCTTGACTCAGATGTTTTTCTCTGGATTCTTGCCTCATCAGCATTTACATTTATCAGCTGCAAGGCAACATAACCACGAAAGAGAATGTGTTTGGCTCCTAACATGGAAAGTTTAAGGGGAATGGTTTAGGCACAGGAGGATGGGGCTCAGTGTCTCCATCTCATCTCTCACTTGGGTGTATTTTGCATTGACTTGTACTTAAGCATTGGCGGGATCTCTCTTGGAGGTGGACCCTAGCATCTCCAGGCTGACATATCAATCCCATGAAAGGTTCTGTCTCTTTGCAACAAAGATAACACAAATTCTTCAGTTGAGTCTCACTGTCTGATTGGCTGGGCCCATTCTCTCAGCCAGTCACTATGGCAAGGAACATGAGGCATTCTATTTGGCCAAGTCTGGCCAATGACCACCACTGATGATCAGGCCATGGTCAACGCCCACCAAACACTCTGAGATGGGGAGGAAGAGAAGAGGGGCTTAAATATGAGAATGGAGAAAGCTTTTGGAATAGCCAATGTCAATAAGGGGGTCAACCAATGCTCAGGATAATACGATATTTTGAGAATTTGTTGCTGACCCCCAAATATCATTTCTTTGAGTTGTTGATATCCTTCTTTTTAAATTAGTCTTATTTAAAATGTTACTTATTCAGAATGTTATTATTTACATACACATTAGCTACTTTGCTCATAGTATTTTGCCGAATTCTATTCCCCATTCTGTGTACACTAACTTGTTTGCTGCATGGTATAGCTGCACAGACTGAGTCCTGGGGAGATTTATTAAATTGACTGAGGCCACCCAGCTTACAAATGTTGAACCAAGTGTTACATCTATCTATCT